CCGCCACAAGTGGAGAGACAGAGAATAGGAAAAGAGCATGACAATCCTGATGTCCGGTAACGATCGGGTGCCGCTGATAATAATATATATATATATATATATATATATATATATATATATATATATATATATATATATATATATATATATATATATATATATATATATATATATATATATATATATATATATATATATATATATATATATATATATATATATATATATATATATATATATATATATATATATATATATATATATATATATATATATATATATATATATATATATATATATATATATACATATATATATATATATATATATATATATATATATATATATATATATATATATATATATATATACATATATATATATATATATATATATATATATATATATATATATATATATATATATATATATTATATATATATATATATATATATATATATATATATATATATATATATATATATAAATATATTCTGTATATTCGTGAAATTTCACTTCTAATCTGTACGTTACTATGTTGTCCGGAAAGATAAAAAAAATGATTAAATAAATTCCTAAATAGAGCATACCTAAATTCTTCTTCCGAACGAAAATTTATGAGTGAACTAAAACAGATTAAACAAACATAAGTCAACAATAATTTTCTCAACTACACTATTGATAAACAAATACACGACATCAGTAATAAAAAATACCACACAACAAAACATCAACCTATTTTATAGTAACGAGATGCTCAATGATTATAAGCTATACGAAAAATCATTAAAAACCATATTTCAGCTGTAATTGCCAAAAAACCAATAACGGAAAACCGCAAACCTTGTTGTCACTAATCAAAATGACCTTATCAAATCTAAACTAGTGATGAGTAATATAGTGTATCAATTTCACTGCCCTATACAAGACTTTATTGTCATAAATCAATTACCTGTACCACCTCCTTGAGTAAATGTCTCGTGTGTTACTTATCAGTAAAAAAAAAACATATATCAACCTACAATCTACCCTTGAGAAAAATTCTGGTCGAAAACCCTAAAATTCTATGTAAACCAAATTCCCGGAAACATTTCGCTCTAAGAGCGGTACTGTACATCAAATATCTCTCCCCCACTATTAACCTCACCTTGTTTAACAATGAGAGCGGCGCGCTAAAAGTTTTTAAAAATAGAAAGTCGCTCACACGAATTCCAGCCGTGCCCAACACGCGAAAGCGCGGAATAAGCGCACCTACTAGTATTCAAAAACCACACAAATAATACATCTCACAGAGTCAAAACAAGAAAAGAAACTGATGTAATGAAATAACCTGTCACACCCATGAGTGACTACACTATAGGTAGTAACTGCCTATAAGTATCCGTAAACCAACAGACTACAGTGTCTAACTGGGATCTGTCGAGTACGACTCAGACTTACGCGAGAACTACCGACCTTCCAATAGCAGCACTCACTACTGGATTCACTTGCAACGACCGTGCGCGTAACTGTTACCTTATTTCTTATTGTACTTGTTTTTACAATAAACCTTTACTTATTTTATCCGTCGTGTTTCTCAAGTATACATTCCGATTAGCACGGAATATAACAGAAACTAACAACAACCAAAACAAAACCCCACTGAAAATGGCTAAAGAAGTGGCCGTCATCGTTTGGGATAATGAAAGATATGGATTGTTTTTGTTTCTCTCAATCCCGGCAAACAGAAAAAGAATGCTGTAAAAGCTAAATAAAACAAAATAATAAAATTTTCCTTGTCCGTGATATTTAACGAAACTTATATAAAGAAATGTTGCTGTTGCCCAAATATACATTATATATATATATATATATATATATATATCATGTTTATTAATAGTTATAGGAATGTTTTCTGGTCATAACAAATAGTGGAAGTCGGAAGTAAGTGTGGGCAATTTACACATTCAAAGATATATATTTAGTTACGTACATAAAAAAATGTCTTTGATGGTCTAAATGACTCACATAAAAAAAAACTGTGCTAGTACTGTGGATAAGAGATTGTGCATCGAAGATTAGAAGGTCAAGTTGGAGTGCTTTGTGTACTGTCAAAAATATCCTCGTAAAGCATGCATATAATTGCTGGAAAATATTTCTATTTATATAATAACTGGCAAATATTTCTGCCTGCGCACCAATAGATCACGCCTTGTACAATGAGAGGCGCATACGAACATATTTTTACATCGCAGATGAAAAACTGTCGAAAGTTTTATCATCAAAATCTTTATGTTATTATTAAAAGGAAAGACCAAAGATTTTATCATTATTAAATTATATTTTTTTATTCTTCTTGGGTCAGCGGGTGACCATAAATTGATATGGCAAATTTTAGCGTCTTTTTACGGTGAAAACATTGATTTGGAAATTTTTACAAAAATGAAATAATTGTCGGATTTTAATAAAATAGGACATATTCACAAGTGAATTAAATTATTTTATAAACGTTCCTTTTTTTAGAAAATCTTTGTAAAATTATTTTTTTTTACATGTTTTTTTTTACATATTTTTTTTCACATATTTAATTTTATGAAATTCGAAAAATCATTTTTGTAGGGATTTATGTTTATATTAGCCATTTAAACACACACAAAAATTACCAGACTCTATCCGAAACGTTACTACTAGAAAATACAAGCATAATGACCTCATTCACATGTAAAAAAAAGCCTTAATAATAAAAAAGAAGACAACACTCAATAATATTAATTTCGAACACGGCCACAATGTGCTGTGTTCGGAAAATAAAACATCCCTATAACTCTAGAAACATACACACAACCTATAAACTAAATTAAAAAGCAAAAATAAAATCATCCTTGATAATGGCTAAAGGTATAGTCGAAAGCGCTCGGAATTACAAAACATTTGAACATTTTCTACACACTCTGTGACCAGAAAAGAAAACACTTGTTTGAACACAAGAAAAATTAAATAAAAAGCTTATTCGCAGTACCTTTAATGAAACATGTGTGTGTGTGTGTGTGTGTGTGTGCGTTCGTGTGTGTGGGGGTGTATCGGGTGTCCAAGGATTAACTATCTAGCGTACAATTCCGCTAAAAACTCACTTTTATTTCTGTTTATCATGTTTACTATGTATTAGGCGTGTATAAATTTCTAATTTTGTTTATAACTTTATAATTTTTATATTTCTTCTAGCGTTATTTTCATTCCCTTTCTGAACCCCATTAATGATGAATACACAAGAAACGCATTTTTGTTGCCTCCCCCCCCCCACCCCTCCAACCAGATTTCTTTGCATGAGGTTTCATAAAAACAAAGGTATTTCGCGAAAAGATCTTAAGTTTAGCTAAGTTTAAAGAACGCAGTTTTAGAGATACTCCCGAAATGTCTCAAAATGCGTTTCACGACGCTAAGGATAGATTTGAACTTTTCAATAAAGTTTTGACGTAAGATTTAAAAATCAATTTGTTTTGTATCAAATTTAAGTAATAAACATAAAATTGTCAGTTTCTTTTTTTTTTAATTTACCCGATTTCATTGAAATAAATACTTCATTCTGGGACAGCATGTATAAAACCACCTTACTTGTTAATGCAATTAATTTAGCAGTGAATATCAGGTACATTGATCGTGTATTATAGAAGGAAATTTTTAAATCAGAAGTTGGCTAATAACTACGTATCAGTTTTCGGACTTGTTGATCCACCCAGCGTGAAAATGGCGGTAACAATTATTGTAAGCTGTTCAAATAACGACGAGATATTTTGCCAAGATAAATGCCGAGCGGACAGACCACAGATAGAAATGACTGGAATTCAAATTCGTTTGGCCGTTACTTGACGTCATGCCGCACCTGTTGGAAGATCACTCGGTTCGTCAGTTAACGGAAAGTTTCTCAGAACTCATACGAATAGCAAATGTGAGTGAAGTGTGGCATTTGCATTGCAAATATTAGAGATCTTTTACCTCAAACTATCATCTTGCATATTTTGATCAATACTTATTACTGTTAGCGTATTTGGTCTCCAATCCTGATGAGTGGTCATACGCTAAAAAAGTCTCATTGTACTACAACCGAAAGGCGGACCTGGGAGATGAGCCTGATTGGAAACCGCGAGCAGTGCTTTGTGACTCTCAGTATTTTTATCAACATTTGCTTTTTTCTGCCTACATTTATATACGTTACAAATTAAACTAAATACAATTGACTATTAAAGGATGAAAGATTTTCGCTGATTTTTGAAGTCATTCTAGGATCTTTTTGTCCAAATCTGTGAGTTTATTTTGTTTATGCTAGTTCTAGAAAAAACATTATATAGAAAATTCATTATTTTTTAACCATAATGTTGAGTGTATTAAAATTATTCAACTGTTTAACAAGAAAAAATGATGTTTATAATAGCCGCAAGACATTGTTGATTTATTTAACAGGGAATGATCTATTATGACATGTCTCTAATTTATATTTAGATATATTGTATTTATTTTCAATTTTTCTAGTTGAATTGTTCACTTATATTGTATATAATCCATTATTGTGCATAATTAAGTTACAATAAAATTTGTATTTTGTATGAATACTACCTTATGAAAATTGAGAGTGGGGTTCGTATCATAGATTCAGTGAAGACGAGAACCTTACAACAGCCCTGAATAGAACACATTCATATATCCGTGCCATCGCTAAAGATGCTGGATGTATAGTCAGTTCTTTGAATCACTCCAGAAAATATCTGTATCCTGCTGCTGTTTATATCTTTTTTTATTGGTAATTCTGTTTTATGGTTTAGTATTTTAAATTTATAAGCGGACATCTTTGATAAGGACTAATTGAAAAGCGAGCTCCTCAAGAGGAACGGAATGCGACTTCTTCTCAGTTATTTTCAACATGTCACCGCTTCTGCATACTAAATTTCACACGTAACGTCTTTTAACTAAGGAAAATTATTGTAAGCATTTATCTATCTTTTATTTGTTTTTTGTTTTTTTTACAGGTAATGCCACATGCAATAACACAGTTTGTCCCGTTGGTAAGAGCTGTCTTACAAACCCCCGAGATGGCAGTCCTGTGTGTTACGCTTGTAATCGATTGTGTGATCATGCGCCCAGTATCAGGGTTTGTGGAACTGACAACCGCTCATACAAAAACTATTGTCAACTAAGCGCCCAAGCCTGCAGTCAGGGCACCTTCATCAAAGCCAAACATGCAGGAAATTGTCAATGTAAGTGATATATCCATACGAAAATACAGTTTTGTGTTAAAAAAAAAGTTATCCTGCTAGATTCTAATGTTATAACGTATCGTCAGAATATTTGTTAGTATTAAGAAGAAAGACCAAAGAATTTTTTTTATTATTAAATTATATTTTTAATCTTTTTTTAGAATCTTCGAAATTTTGTTTAAAAGTTTTTTTTTTCTTGTGTTAATGGGAGACCATAAATTAATATGTGAAAATACACTTGGAAATTCTTGCAAAAATCAGGTAATTGTCGGATTTGAAGGAAACTTTCAGGACTTATTCACAAATGAATTGAATTATTTTCGAAATGTTTCTTTTTAGAAAATCTTGGTAAAAATATGTTTTATATCTGCTACACTCTAGTCATTTAATTTTATGAAATTTCGAGAAATTCTTTTTAAGTAGTGCTTAATGTTTATATTAGTTCTTGGAAAATATAAATCATCCAATTTTTTATGTCAAACAGACTCTGAATCGTAAAATAAAAAATGCAATATAAAAGTAATTTAATTAGGAAAACTTTAATTGCTCTTATGAATAAGATATATTATGGACACCGTAGTCTCAAGAAAAAAATTTTCGATAAATAAAAAATATCAAAAAAATAATCCCAGTCAATTTAAATTCGGTTTGCAAAACAGCAAAGAATTTCGCTTATTGGAAATATTAATTTTTTTTTTTTTTTTTTTTTGCTTGGAATTAAAATAAAAGCTTCAAGGAAGATTTTTCAATTTTTGAAATGCATTTTAAACCTTAGGTGTCGCTTTTTAGATACATAGACGACACATTATTTGTCAAAACAACTTTAGTTATTATTTTAATCATGAATTGTAACAGATACGCTATTAAATTTATTAAATGAATTCATTATGTTATTAGATAAAGAAATGCGATATGACTGTTTATTTCCTGTTAGTTTGTTCTGTATTTGTGATTTTATTATTTTTTTTCTTTTTAACAGCAAGAAGAGAGGGTCGCCAGGGTGTCACATGGCAGCCCCGAAGGCACCGAACGGCTGACTCCATCGCAGGTTCAGACGAGACAAAACGCGGCATTCTCTGACGAGTTCATGACAAAAACAGCAGCTTTTGATACAAGCGTTAATGAAAAGAAGGAAAATATTATCAACAGCATTCGACAAGAATTACAAATGAAAGTGCTAATCTTCTGTTAAGATTTAACTATGTCCACTGTGTAATGGATGCAGTGTACTTTCTGTGACCGATTGTTTTTGAAAAAGGAAAAGAAAAGTGACTTTTACAAAGTATAACGAGTCTTGACGGAGAATATTGCAGTCATTTTTATTGAATTATCTGCCCTTGAAACAAAGAAACGGAAAATAAAAATTAGAACATTATAGCAAAAGAGAGGCATGGACAATTAAGAAAAATAAACGTTTAAAAGAAAAATGAAAAGCAACAAGATGGGGAGACGCAATAAAAGACTCAGATAGGGAGAGTCTAGTAAAAAATGTCTTTTTAAATTGTTACAACAATATGGTGAGAAATCAAATAAAAAATGATATCTTCCACCTCCGGAATACAAATATTCTAGTGGTGAGTAAAATAAAAATATGAGCCACCGATTTTGTATTGCAGACGAACTAGAGCTTAAGTCGGTTGGAACAATCAAGATTCATCATTTTTTCTCAATTCCCGCACTTTTTTTTTGTTGTTGTTTTTTTTTATATATATATATATATTTCGTTTTTTTAATCTCCTGATAGAAAAACATCATTTTTATCGTCCAGTTATTTATTGTATATAGACTTTCGTTTTCAAACTTGCATCAGTCTTTATATCTGTTAATTGTACATTTTCATGCGATTCAAACAATATTTCGATTTACTATTGAAATAAATTTAAAAAAGAAAAACCCGTGCGTTATTTTTATGATTTTCTTAATGACTGTCATATATCTCTGTCTATGTTTCTGAGATGAGGTATTGTAACTATTTACATTGTTCGGACACATCTTTATTGTCATATTCACGGCGTTTCGGCCGTTGTACGCACCAGCCTTGTTCAGGATCTGTCTATATTTCTGAGATGAGGTATTGTAATAATTTACACTATTTACATTGTTCAGACTGTTATCCACATCTTTATTGTCATATTCACGGTGTTTCGGCCGTTGTACGCGCGAGGCTTCTTCAGGATCTGTCTATATTTCTGAGATGAGGTATTGTAATAATTTATACTATTTACATTTTTCGAACTGTTGTCCTCATTTTTGTTGCCATATTCGCGACGTTTCGGTCGTACTACTCTCCGGCCGTCTTCAGGTGATATACGTTGGAATTTCGAACCGAGATAGATTGTTCTAGTTCCACGTGCCATGCCTTTTCTGGATATCTTAGTTTCAGTTATTTCCCTACTTCGGAGTTTAATAATTTCTTTAATTTTATTTTATTTTATAGGACTTCATGGTAAACAATTTTTTTAAGAAAATTCTTTTTTTTTTTCCTTTTTAATAGTGAAGAATAAATTCTTAGGATTTCTTACTTTTGAGCATGCAACAAACAATAGGCCATGCGTATATATTTCTTTCTGGGGTCAAATTCCAACCTTCTGAAGCGTTTGGCCTCGTGATTTGTTTTTAGTTCTTGCGAACGCAGGGTGAATTTGTATATAGAAAAAGAAAAAGAAAAGATATGAAAAAAAAAAAATATTGTATTTTTATTAAATAAGTACAGTAGGAGCTCACAGTATGAGTTTAATTAGTTCCCAGACCAGCTTGTATTGTAAATTACACGTACTACAAAGCATTTTTCCCATTGAAATTAATGGCTGTTTAATTAATCAGTTTCAGTTCCTCAAAGCATCTAAAATGTCCATCTTAGAATTTTCAAGAATAGAAAACGGACAGTAAGAAATTAAATCTCAAAAAGTCCATGTAATAAGAACATGATAAGAGAAAATGAAAAAAAAAATAAACAGCTTTTATTAAACTACAAACCTTTCATAAGTAAGTTTCTGGCGTTTTCACTGATGATTTAAAGAGTTTTGTGGTATTTGATTCGCGTTCAGCACCTGCAGAAATTCTTTAGAAATTTACCAATAGAAATCTGTTTCGCTCTTGATTTAAAAAATTCCACGAAAATAGGCAACACAAATTTCGTTGAACAAAGCAGTCATATGATTTACACTTAATTTTTGTGGGTGGTATTTTTCCACAGAGTCGTGAACATTTTTCCACATCGCCAACACTTCCTTGATCTTACTCGTGGGGACAAACTCCGACACACTTTCCTCCTTGGCTAGTTCTTTTAACTCCTCCTGAGGCAGCTGAAATTCCTCTGTCGTCAGCTCCTGTCCGTGTTTGTCGGGAAAGGGAGGCAATCGATAGCGTTGGTAGGTGATGTTATCTGTGATAAGTACTTCGAAGAATTTTCGCCAATAAAACCGTTCTGGACGTCAGGCGTTCACAGAGGAACTTCACCTTGCCTTTGACCGTGTTGTTTATTATGACGTCAGCTGGCAATGCTCCCCTTTACCTCAGTCACCGACTGCTTCTGTGTATATGACGGTTACTTGTACTGCGAATTTTTACTCGTACTACGATACAAAAATGCTCACGAATGGCAGCTCGGAAAGCAAGTTGTTTGTATAATGGTGCACTCGTACTACGAGATTCTACTGTATTTTTTATTTTAATCGTTGAATTGTTTTAAAACAGTGGAATTATTTTGTATGCTAAATAATAAATCTTTTAATTTTTTCAAAAAATGAATGAAAATTTTTTGTACTAAGCTACGCAGCCTAGAAAAAACAAACTGTACTATGTACCCCATTACCTATTTGCACTTCTCCCAAAAATTTAGTTTCGATCGATGTATGGCTCTTTTAGAGGGTATGACGGACGGAAGTCATGGAATTTTATATATAGATTTCACGCCAAGCAACGGAATAAAGCCACTTAGACGAAGGAGGTTACTGAGTGTGAATAAAACCGAGAAAAATCATTATTAAGGAGAGAGAACAAGAAAAAAAAAACAGGAATTAAGAAGACAGACGATAACGACCGACATAACATTCATATTTTTGAATATCAAAGTTGACTGGAAAGCAGGAGGCCGGAAGAGAGTCTCACGTGACAGAAAGTGCGAGAGAAGAAACTGTTATCATAGAACTTACAGCTACAACTAGCTATTTCAACTGTAAAATGATGAGACCTTGCCGCCAATCTAGCACTGCGCTTGAATTCATAAAATCTAGATACTCAAGGGGAAAGCTTGTTTGGAAAAATACAAATGTAATTTTTACTAATCAAGTTTTAGGTCGAAGTCAATCAAAGATTCGGTCAGTAATAATATAGAATCAACTATACATCAGAAGCTGGAATATATAAGATAGGATGCTTGAAAAGTTACAAAAATATAGTGGTGAGACATGTAGAAATGTAAAGACCTTTGTTTATGTACACAGAAAGGACCTCCTATTAAATTACTGAGTAACCCATAGATACAAAGCAGGCCATAATTTTGATTTTCAATATATTTAAAAAATAACAAAACACAACTATTTCGGATCAAAATATATATAAATAAAAGAAATATCAATAATATTTAATATAAATGTTAATGTAAGTGCAGAGTTCCCGCATCCACCGACAAGTAACTGACTATCCCACATCGCGTCTCTATTTTCTTTCACATCGGTTTGTACAAGACACTGGGAAAGGGTCCGTTGTACGTTCACAAGGAAGCAAAAGATTAAAACAATCCCCATTTCGAACCCTGTTTCTAATAATATAAAATAGGTGATTTATTTAGGACTACACTCCCCTAGTACCAACTCTCTGTCTATTCACACATCTCGGTGTGTGACTGGCAACACGAACGGGAGGTATCGGAACTACCCGAGAACGGTCTGTCAGTCACCAAGAGCAGACCAGAATTGATTTTCTCGGTCCCAAACGTAAGAGCAACTGGAAATTTCAAAGAACATATCCGCCGAATAAAAAAACAGCAACGTTTGAGATCTACTCACAGTTTCCTCTACTATGTAGGTGTCCCAAAAATAGTGTGATAGGTTTTTGTAAATTTTTAATATTCAGTATTTAGTATGCAATATTTGATTGATTAGTTGTTTGGTTGGTTGTTTTATTTAGCGGCATATCAACATCGATGATTTATTTAATGACGAAATCAAAATATTTTTACTCAATTTTGGTGGAGTAATGGATAGCGGCTCGGATTGAGAAATCGGAGAGCCGAGTTCAAATTCCAGTCGATTCCATTACATTCACTTACATGCTAATACCCTTGGGAAAGGTATGAATCCTCCTCTTCTCCTCCCAGCTATCGGTAAATAACTGGACAGACCAGGTTCTATAACCTTGGATGGCAACTTGGTCTACCGCAGAAAGTAATGGCAACTTACTGCGGGAAAAAAATCTGCCTCGTCAGTCATGTATCGAAAGATACACGATCGCCTAAGCGTGTATCACGCACGGTACATAACTAACTGAATGGTTTAGTAATAAAAGTCTTGATAATTAACCCATGGTTTAGTAATACAAGTCTTGATAATTAACCCATAGCTAGGGGAGGATAGGTGGAGTCATACCTTTTCCAAAGGTATTTACGCGTAAGTGAATATAAGGAACCTAACTGGAATTGGAACTCGGCTCACTTCACTTCCGAGCCATTATCCATTAGGTCATCTGCAAATGCAAGCTTAAAGGTATTCCTAAGCGGTCACCTATCTAGATACTGACCAGGATCGATGTTGCTTAACTTCGATGATCGGAATAGTAGATATGTCATTTTAAATAGGTAATATTTAATAATTCATACGTATCATTTATAGTGTAATATTTAACATGTAATATTCCATATTTAATATGTAATATTCGCTAGATGATATTTAGTATACAATATACAGGGGGTCCTCGAAGCAACCTGATTTTCGACGTAGTCCGGAACTCAACCACATAAGTACCCATAAGTCTGCCTTACGCTTGGGACCCATAATGAAGGGCAAAAAGTTCTCAAAAAACACACACTAACGTGAGATAGCAAATGTAGCACAATCCAATATGGCGTACAGCCGATGAAG